AGAAAATAGTCTTACGATTTGAATACATGTAGAGAACCTGTCATTGAGTTTAACACTTGAATGCCATTTGCCTGCAATGCATAGGCATTACGCAGGGAATGCCTCACATGTTATATAAGTAATGCATTTATATCTATGGAAATGAGATTATTGACATTGCTTAATTCTCACATATTTTAACATTTACTTGTAAAATAAAAGGTATTTAAAAAATAAGTGAAAGTTTAGTTCGGGTGTACTATAATGCCGGTGCTCTCGACAAACACTTTAATCCAATTCAATATACAGTATATTCAGTGTATTACTAATGAATCCGAAGGCGTTTTTGTCAAACAAAAAGGCTTTTAAAATATGTAATAGAAAATGAATTTAAACACTTTTATTTTAAAAATCAATTCAATCAAATTACATGCACTTTATTATATGTCTAGAAATGTAAGTTAATTTAATTTATAATTTCCATGCTAAAACAATATTCTGTACATACACTATTAGCATGCATTTATTTTTCAAAATTTTGCAAATATTTTGTGCCCAGTATTTTGAATACATATTGTATGTCACAATATATAACATAAGTCTCAGGCTTAATTTAAATATATAATATATATTATATTTACTTCAACACATGATCACAAATCACATTAAACTTTGCATACATTTGAATATACAGTGAATTTACACATATTTTATACAACTTTCAATGCATTAGTCGCTATTAATTGAGTCCATGTCTACCACTGGCATCGATAATGTGTGCCTAATATACGGCAAACAATATGTGTTATATTACTCTTACGGTTAGTTATATACAACTAATTGAATTTCGCACTAATTTTCTAACTCTAATGACAGTCTCATAAATATATAAACCACTGGACCACTACTATAGCTTAGTATGTGTAGGTGCTCAATGAGTTTTCAAAACTAAATACATGTCTACATTTACATTTAACTGTAGTATTTATTATTTACTATAACAAATTCCCAGAATATTCTGACTCGTAATCAAAATTATGTGTTTATATAATAAAAGTAATAGTAATCTAGTGGTATATAACCATAATATGTTTTGTTAAACAAAAATACCATAAATAATAGTAAGTTGTATTTTTGCTAGCTATGTTATTTTGCATACGAGTTGGCATTTAAGCGCGAATAATAATAAATAAGAAAAACACATTTGTTTATTAAATATGAATTTATTTGACAACAAAAGTCATTTGAATTACAATAATGGTAATGAAATTGAATTTTTATTATAATATTATATTAATAGTATTACTAGTAGTTTGTGTGCAAAACAACAGCCCATAAGTCAAAAACACTGATAACTGATAACAGTTTATAGTATTATTTATGATGACATTTACTGATAAGCACCGGTATTACTGGGAAATTATATTTTTTATTTTAATAAATAAATCGATAATACATTCACCAGTAAACATTTAAATATTTATTTCTATTAGCGTTACATATAATTAAAAACTTATTTATCATAATATACTAAGAATTGTTGCATTTTATTATAAACACTAGACTATTATACCAGTGATTTACATAGCTAATAAGCCTGTTACTTATATCAACTAGTAAAGTTAGTCAATATTGAATAAATCATGTAAATTGAAAATTATATATTTATTACATTTAAAACTATTGCACAATAAAATGAATTTAAAAACATAAAATGTTTAATTTATTGAGTTTGGATGCACTTTAATCCCAAACTGGTATTAAGGGATAAATAAAATCATTATTTTTGAATAAAATTAATTTCAATTAAACACAGATATAGCATAAAACACGGATTTAAAAAAGCAATCAATGTCGTTTAAATATTAACGATTTTCTATGCCTCGTATATAATAGTAATTATTTTTAGATTAGAAACACAAAAAAACTAAGTTTACAATCAATTCATATGGGATTTATATTGATTTTAGTTTTACATTGTATTGTTTTTTATGTTTTTCGTAAACAATATACAGTATACAGTATATTCAAGTACATAATATATTTCACCAGATAAAATCGCATTGATTTAGTAATAATCCGATAAACTGTATGTTCAATAGAAATGACTTTTATATTGAAAAACTAGTAAAGGATTTGCGAATCCAGTGATAAGAATCACAAACAAGCACTCGATTCCCGGAATATTCTGTGATATTCTCCAATATTTTGTAAAAACAATATATTTATTATGTATAGATTTATTGGTTGACCTTAACTATTAGTAAAAAATTATCAGGCAACAAATAATTCTCAGGAATTCCTAATCGTAAACACTATATCCATTAGGTTTAATATATTTTAACTATATTTTCGGTCTATTTTTCATATATTTTGACAAATAATCGATACAATCGCCTCAGAATTGAGATAATATGTCATCAATTATAGTATGGCTTATAGTTGTTCTGTAACCTACTATAGATACAGGAACAAATAATAAATTATACAATCAAAATGACCCCGAAAGTCAAAAATATGAACACGTCGATTATTATCACATTTATAATACTATTAATCAGATTTAAAGTGATTTTTCCGGTAATTGTCTCTAAATTAATGATCATTTGTTGCGAAATATTTATTAAAAATAATACAATAATATCTACTAATCCTTAATAATAGTTATAATTGACATTGACGTCTATTTGAACAGGGTAATAAATCATTTACTATTCGGTTTGCCGTAAACAAAAAACTAACTTATTATTTAAAATTTAATTTATATATCATATACTATTCAATGGTGTAAAATTACATTTTAATCTCTACAAAATGTGTGCTTGCTAATTTATAATTTATAAATTGTATATTAAATAAAATATTCTATTAATACTATTTGTGTTATATATTTTATTTTATTTACATTTATGACCCCATTATTTATCACAAGTAAAAATATATATTTTTGAAAACATAATCATATTAATTTCAAAAAATATATATAAAAAAGTTTTTTGAACAGGATATCATATTTAATTTGTAACAAAATATGATAAAATAGTTGTTTAGTACTAATACTATTTAATCATGATTACAATATTCTTAAATATTTTATACAATAACAATGTAATTATTATTATGAGATTTATTTTTGACCTTAGCTATTAGTAAAAAATTATTAAGGAACAAATATTTCACAATAATTCCTTAACAAAAACATAATATCCATTAGATGTGAAATATTTTAACTATATTTTCGGTATATTTTTCATATATTTTGACAAATAATCGATACAATCGCCTCGAAATTGAGATAATATGTCATCAATTATAGTATGGCTTATTCTTGTTCCGTAACGTACGATATAAACAGACACAAATCATAAATTATACAATAAAAATGACCCTGAAAGTCAAAACAGGGTACGTATAAACACACCAATTATTACCACTTTTACTATAAATCAGATTTAAAGTGATTTTTCCGGGAATTGTCTCTTAATTAATGACCATTTGTTGCGAAATATTTATTAAAAATAATACAATAATATCTACTAATCCTTAATAATAGTTATAATTGACATTAACATCTATTTGAACAGGATAATAAATTATTTAATTTTTGGCTTTGCCGTAAACAAAATACTAACTTATTATTTAAAATCCAATTTATATGTCATATACTATTCAATGGCGTAAAATTACATTTTAATCTGTAGACAATGTGTGCTTGCTAATTAATAATTTATAAATTGTATATTAAATAAAATATTCTTTTAATTCTAGTTGTTTTATATATTTTATTTTATTTATATTTATAACCTCATTATTTATCACAAGTAAAAATATATTTTTTTGAAAACATAATCATATTATACATGTCAAAAAAGTTTTTTGAACTGAATATCATATTTAATTTATAACAAAAATTGATAAAAACAGTTGTTTAGTACAAAAACTATTTAATTATGATTACAATATAACAAAATACTTTTTGTTTAATAAAAACCAAACAAAACATAAATTATATTTATATTAAAAATAATTCTCGTGTGAAGTGTTTGTTAGCGACAAATGTCTCGTTATATTAAATACAATAAATCTAATCCTTTTATATGAAATAAAATAAAACAAATAATATTATCCAGCCATAAATACACACAACTTTTAAGTGTTAAAAAACTTTTATCACCCTGTCTAAACTTATTACACTTAATCCGGTGATTTATTAATACGACAATTATTTGGTGTCAAAGGATATTAAGACAAATTAGACACAAATTTTTCGTAAACAATAAAAATCGTAAACAAGAAGTTGTCTCACAAATAGTGATCTATTTTATATCAATTTGAAAACGACTTATAGTTAACACAATAACATATGATTTTTCTAATAGAAAAGTTGTTCATTGTTTGATAAAAAAAACTTTTGTTATGTTTTTTGTTTTAGTTGTTTTCATAAAAAAACTAATTTCTTGTATTAAAGCAAAATCATATTATATTATATTCATAGAGAAAAACAAAATATTATATAAAAACCTTACAAAACATAAAGAGAAAGAAAAAATACATTGAATTTCTTATGAGTTGTATTTTCTCAACCAAAAAGTATTTATGAGTTTCCTATGGCTTAGCATTTTATCTACAATTGCAATGCGTTTGTATTTATGAAACTTAACTTGATGTTTATAAAATGTCATATCACTCGTTGTGTGTTAATTATATAATTAATAAGTAAAAATATTCCTAGCATACACATATTATTTTAATTTCACATAGTAATAAAACCATACTAATGTTAGGCATGTTGGAAATATACTAGTAAACAAATTTTTTTGCTATATTAATATAAATATAATATAAATATAATTGCTAATAATTGTCGATATGATTAGAAATGGATAAAAAGCAAAAGTGTATTGATTTTGACAGCATTTGGATGGTTGAGCGCATCATCCACTGCACGGTTACGGCGACTCTGGTATCCCTACGAGTGGTATATAACTGTGCGCTGAGTCTAGCAATCGATGCCATTCTCCAGCATTCATATCACAGAATCTGCACTTCAGTACAGAATCTATATATGAAAGCATAGACTGTATTCAAGTTCAAGTTCATAGCACCTGTCTATCAGTTTTTAGTTTCAATTATTAAGTGCTCATCAATTCATACATCAGTTTTTGGTAAGTGTTTCATGTCTTAAATTTATTGCATATTATGGGTGATAATTTTGCAGTTAATTTGCTAGTATTTGCATATGAATTATAAAGAGTATTTGTTGCATTTATAATGCATATGCTATTTGATAATAATATTGAAAGTTTTAGTGAGAGGTAGTTTTATGCATTTAACTAGTATATTCAATAGTAATATAAGTTTTTGCAATCAATTGTTTGTTGTTAAATTAATACTCAAAAAGTTATATTTTTATATAAAAAACATATATAACACATTATACAATAGTTTTGTTAGGAATTTAGTTATTATGAAATATTTTTCAAAGAAAATGTTATTAAACTATGAAAAGCTTACCAAAAAAGACTAATATCTATAATATATATATAAATTATATAAAACTAAAATAGATTCTCGTTTTGTGTCTGAAAACAAAGTTCTCATTATTTGTCTCTATTTTCTGCAATAATTCTTTCAAATCTGTTATTAAAAAATATTTTCTCAAAAAATGTTTATATAATAATTAAGCCGTGATATTAAATGAGCATTTTAGACATAACTTAAACTTAGTATTCTTTATACTTACTATTCATTTTAAAAATAAATTGTTTTAGCTTTTATACAGATTTGTTTTATATTTTTTCAATGTATTGATTTTTATGTCTGTTTTTTATTTCGCTATCATTACTAAAAACACATAACTCTATTGAATGAGACATACATCTAATGTACAGCGAGTTTAACGGTCGGGGAATGTATGCTTAGGTATTACTACAGAGCACTCACTATATGAATGCCAATACTATTCACGGATTGATAACTCATTTCAGTATTAGTTAATGTTTGCACAAAACTATTGAGATATGAATGGAGCCATAAATGTGTGACAATTTCATTAGGATTTTTCCCACACATATATAGACTATATTATAATCAGTACTCTCAACAGGATTTAAAGACAAATATATTCAGATTTTTAATTGAAAAAAACTTAATTAACTACCTTTTTACATTTTATATATTGTACTAATTTTATATAACTCCTACTCATAAAATATTTCCGAGTATTGCATAAAACTGTTGAATTGTACTGAATTATCATGCAATTAACGTTTTGCACAAAACTGGTGTTTAAACTACAAATTCAAACAAAACTATTGAATGAGAAAACGCTAATGAAATGTGAATTGCATTTCAATGTCAAGTGTATTGAGAGAGTATAGCGCTGTAAGTCATACAGAATATTCTGTGCGTTAGTTATTATACGGTATATAAATGATGAGTTGCTTAGAGGCATAAAAAAGACAATTTGTAGCGCCAGGATGTCGCTGAATATATGCACAATAATTAGATAAAGTGTACAATTTTTTCATTGCCAACCACTCGTTGTCCAGACATACTGTATATCTCATCAAAAAGGCAATAATTTGCGACAAAATAGGTATTAAATACTGTCAAAAAACTATGTCTTAATGCAATTATAGTCTGGTTTGAACCGGATGTAGTTTCTATATTAAACTAACAGTGTCATTTATATTTTGCCCATATATTATTTTATCCATTACTGACCCTCAATTGTCTAGCTTTTATGTTATTTCACAACATTTTCTTAATAACCATTTATGTAAATATAATAATAGTATTAATATTGCATTCATTAATCTCATGTCGAAACTAGTTGTTTAACTTAATTCATAATTTGCATTAACTATAGACTATTCAATGAGTTTTTTTTATTTTGATATCCATCACCCAATATATCAACAAGCTATTTGTTATTGACATTAAATGAATAATAATAATGGTATATCAAAATTATTTCTATTAATATACTCAGTATAGTGTAGACATTGTCTAACGCTAAACGTATTATACTATAGATTGTAACTGAAATAAAAGTCCAATTAATAGTAGATATTATATAAGCAAACATTATATTTATTAATATACTTATGTTTATTAACATACTATTAATATAACTAAGCACAATGTTAGTAGGTTTAGATTTAGATTTTTATTTTTAAACATGATAAATTAAGTTTAACTATAATAAGAGCTCAATAGTAAACTTGCTATTTATATAAATTATATGATGTTTAATATGACTAAAATAGGCATAAAATGTAATATAACACAGAATTGGAGCACAAAAACAATTAGAAAACAAAATATATTTCCAATAAATAACTCTGAGATGAAGACTAATAGCAAACAATTGGATTAAAAACAGTGTTATAATGCGTGGACTACAGGCGTTGAAAGGGAAATGTAGGCCAGAGATTAATATTTACTATTTAGCTATAATAGCAACACATATACGTATATAAAAAAGTTTTGACGTTTTTACAATTGTTTAGCAAAACGTAAGCATAATTTTAGATCTCAAGTGTTGATCTGTTTTCATATGATATGATAAACCGCACACTTGAACTCAATATCCAAATAAATTGTGCTGTATCATATCATATCATAGCTTTAATATAAATTTATATATACATATAAAACTGGGAAAGGGATTGGGAAAGGGGTCAGCATCTGTTATTTTGTCTGTTTATAGTCAATATTATACTGAGTTTTATATTCTCTATGATATTCTGTTCGTATGAATAGTACAGTAAATCCAAACAGTTTTGTGACAAAACAAAAAGTTTTATTACATATAGTGTTGAGTACTGAAAGTGTAATCTCTATATACCGGTATATATTCGTGACAATAATTTTATCCTAGATAAACCTATCACTATCTTTCTCACACACACTATGGTGCCTAATTGTGCTCTCAATTGTAACTGGGTATAATAAGTTTCTTGCACATTTAATTGGCACACATTTCTTCGTTACACTTTCTTTCGTTTTATTTTCACTCCAAATACTATGAAAAAAGTCAATTTATTTTGTGCTCCAAATTGTGCTCAAAATTAATTGTTTTCAATTACAATGGCAACACTCGTTAACTGACATTCAGTTTATAAATTAATGATTTATTTTTTCGCTGAAACTTATATATCATTTGAAAGGTTAGGGTATCTACAAATTGTGCTCAAAATTAATTGTTTTCAATTACAATGGCAACACTCGTTAACTGACATTCAGTTTATAAATTAATGATTTATTTTTTCGCTGAAACTTATATATCATTTGAAAGGTTAGGGTATCCATCGTTTGATATAAGAAACTTTATTTCTCTGAATTACTATCGCTTTTCATGAATAAAATGCTCGTTAATAGTGCGGAATATTCTATGGGAAACTTGCCATTAGTATAGGAATCGGGCACTTAGTGCACAGAATTGCGAAAAAATATTTCCATTACTTTACTCATTGTTTATGCGCTATAATACTACTGACCATTGAAGTACATACTATGTGTGTACGCTAAATGACCCACATATTTTTATCTCAACCTTGTATAGTGTATGTGTGATTCAAAATAGCAACAACAAAAAATCACTTAAAGTACTCAAGAATTCTATACTTATATATATAGTATATATACTATCAGTGAAAATATTTCCGCTATTTTTGTGAATACAATATAAAATCCCATTTTCTGTTGTGTTTATAAACACAATATTTTTTTAGTCATTCTTATGGTCAGTACTCTCGACAACAAAATAAACATTGAATTCACGATTCAATTCAAGTATACATTTCTGGTGTCCATTTGTTTGACACAAAAATTCTATAAAAAACACATTTTGAATCGAAATTTATATTTAACATAATCTGTCCGTAAGTGTCACTCAAGCTATAGGAGCCGTACCGGGAGTTGACAATGGGATCAGTTTTTGGCAGATTCTTGTCATTTGTATTGATGTTTTCAACACAAGAAAAATGGGTTCAAAATCAGCGGCAAAAACTCACAGTTACGAAAACACGTCGTTAAAACGCTAGTAACATAACTAAAACTTAATTCTAAACAAAACTTTGTAGTCAAATTTATAATTACTGAAAAGTTGTTTGAGATGTGGTTTTTCAGCAAATTTGAAATGTTTAAGTATAAACTATAATTACAATCATATTAACGGTATAGGATTTTGAGTTAGTTTCAAAACTAGGTATTATTAACTTATTTAGTACGTATGTACAAAGTTTAGTATAAATATCTAAACAAACTTTCAATATACTAACTGTCACTACATGCTGAATAAAAATAAGTTTAGTTTTATTATATAAAATTGATTTATTGATTAAAAATAAGTTTCTCTCAATATTCAGTAAATAAACGTTGATTTCTTTAATTGTATAAATCGTATATATGTCACGCATTTATGAATTATTGATAAATGAAAAACTCAAATATCAAAATTTATCGTAAATATCTTGAGTGAATAGTACTGTATATGCTATCGATTACTAACTTTTAAAATACATATTTATATAATATATTAAATTTACTAAAAATACTATAACTAAATAATTCATGATAAATACTATACATTAGTGTCAATGCTTTTGTGCAGCAATTTTGCGATCATTGTATTGATTTTGAATTAAGATTTGTTTTGAAACATCAGTTTAAATATTAATGACTTTTCAACAAACTCTACACCAAAAAGTCGTTTAAACTGATGTTTAAGTATAAACTATAATTACAATCATATTAACGGTATAGGATTTTGAGTTAGTTTCAAAACTATGTATTATTAACTTATTTAGTACTTATGTACAAAGTTTAGTATAAATATCTAAACAAACTTTCAATATACTAACTGTCACTACTTGCTGAGTAAAAATAAGTTTAGTTTTATTATATAAAATTGATTTATTGATTACAAATAAGTTTCTCTCAATATTCAGTAAATAAACGTTGATTTCTTTAATTGTATAAATCGTATATATTTCACGCATTTATGAATTATTGATAAATGAAAAACTCAAATATCAAAATTTATCGTAAATATCTTGAGTGAATAGTACTGTATATGCTATCGATTACTAACTTTTAAAATACATATTTATATAATATATTAAATTTACTAAAAATACTATAACTAAATAATTCATGATAAATACTATACATTTAATAAATTATTATTTCAATTACATTTATGTGCTAGCTTACTAATATTTCACTTGTCTATGCCCACCAGATTAGACAGAGAGCACAGGTATGCCTCAGCAGCATATCTCACAACTGCCCCGATTGGGCGCATTGGTGTCCAGTCTGGACGGCCACCAGCGGGTGAACCTCCACTGCCGGGTCGTAGTGTTGGGTTCGGCCAAAGTGGGAAAGACGGCAATCGTCGAGCAGTTCCTATACGACGCCTTCCCTGTCCAGCACTCGGCTACAGTCGAGCAACTCTATAGAGCCGAATACCAGGTCCGCGGCACCGGTATGTCAATCAGTCACTCATACTTTAGANTTCGGCCAAAGTGGGAAAGACGGCAATCGTCGAGCAGTTCCTATACGACGCCTTCCCTGTCCAGCACTCGGCTACAGTCGAGCAACTCTATAGAGCCGAATACCAGGTCCGCGGCACCGGTATGTCAATCAGTCACTCATACTTTAGATAGTGTTTCGGCAGCAGTTAATTGGAAAATAAATGAATTCTTTGATCACTGGTGAAAAATTCCTAAAGAATTCTGTTTTCAGAATATTTACAATTAAATAGTGAAAGTGAATGTCAACTGAAATTAATTGATAGGCAGAGAGAGAGAGTGAGAGAGAGAGAGAGAGAGAGAGAGAGAGAACTATTGTTATATACTATGTATAGTATCTATAATATAGTTTAGATACAGTATATAATTAATTTACTTCTCTTAGTATACAAATGCACTCTAAAAGTGCTATTACTATATACAGTATCAATAAAAAATGTCCAGGAATTGACGTTTTTATTATATATAAATCCCTAAACTCCAGGTTCCCTAACGTTAGACATATTGGACACGAGTGGGTCGTATGAGTTCCCGGCGATGAGACAACTGGCCATCAAATCGGGCGATGCATTCATTCTTGTATTCTCTGTGGACGACAGCGAGTCCTTCGAAGAGGTCCGACGGCTCCGGGAACTCATACTTGAGCTCAAGAGCCGAGACAACAACGACAACCACAACCAGATACCGATCCCCATCTGCGTCGTCGGCAATAAAAACGATTTATTAGACGACCGACGAGTCATTAGAAAGGTATGGATTCTTGTGATATATATATACAGAATATTCTGTTACTATAGCTATGAATGTATTGACAGAATTGGCTTTTTGTGTTAAAAATCAATTGGGATTTTTCAATTCAAAAGAGTCGTTAGCTTTTCGCTGTAAAAGTAATTTATGTCTTAATTTTTGCACAAAAAAATCTTTATTTTTTTGTTTTTGTTTGTTTTGTGATAAGTATTTTCAATTGAGATCCAAATCAATGTCAGATTCCGTACAAAACTCGGTACTGAATAGAAAATAAACTAGATATTTAATATAATTTTCCACATTTACTTGAATTCAATTGATTTATTAAATGAAAGGAAAAATACTTTTATAAATATAATATTACAGTAAAGCTATAAAAATAAAACTAATATATAAAAACCCACTAAAATATTTGTATGTTTAATTGCATTAATAAACTCATTATAGCCCACGGAGTTGTATGGGTTGATTAAAATTGATTTTTTTGATTGTATTATAATATAATCTTCATATTTTTGTATTACCATTATTTTAATTAACTAGTAATTATTTATATTATCTAGTAATTTAATTAACATTTAATTTTGTGCGGGGATTAGTGCACAGGAACTCATAATAATAAAACATTTTCAATTAACACTTGCGATGTAAAATAGATTAGCCATGATATTTTCTATTTGCTATTCATATTTATATTACAAAATAATTAAACATTAATTATGAATTATGAATATATAAAAATATCAAAAACATTAATAATAATAATAATAAATTTAACTTAATAATAAACAATTATAATATAATCATTAAACTCATTACGATTTGCCAATAATTATAAACTGAATCGCTTTTAATATGCAGTACTTGTGCCTAGAATTTTCATTGTCAGCCATAAATATTTTGCACTTTTATAGCTAGTATAGTTTATTAATGTATAGTATCTATCAATAAATTTTTAAAATAAAAACATTTTTAAAACAAAATTTTCTAAAAAATATTTGTTGTTATCCTAACCTCAAGGAAGTGGCGGAAAGTGTGATATGTCTGGACTGGGAGAACGGGTACGTCGAGTGTTCGGCCAAAAGCAACACAAATGTGGTGACAATATTTCAGGAGCTAATGATCCAGGCAAAAGTGCCTATAGATGTCGGACCCGTTATAGCCAATGGAAAGCCCCGCAGGAGTTCATTGCCCGAGTGTCCCACCAGTCCTGTCGACAAAGACAAGGGAATACCTAAAAGAAACAGTTGTGCCGTTTCATAGACACATACACACACACAGACATAGCCCGGTGGACACTACCGGTGCCGAGTGCGCCTACCCTCCCATATACACGGGAACAGTATTACGAGTGCTGCGCATAACTGGCCACCCGTTTACCAAACATGTCGTACGAGAAATGGCTTACAGACCGTACGATTGGATACAGGAGCTACTGGTCGGGCACATTGGCATCTACTCAGTGGTACCATTGGAGGGGACAGTCTTGTATTTATGGTGTCTATCCACTCTGTGTTTTAATAATATATTTGTATAAATATATAAAATGTCATTTTTAGACAATTAATTGTAGATTGAAATTGTAAAATAAATTCCATTTTACATTATAATTATAACCTAGTACATTATCATGCAATTAAAATATATTTTGCTTATAATTTGTATAGAAAAATGTGTTTAAAACTAATGATTCATTTCTGTAGTCAATAAAATAAACTGTAAAAATATTTTCAATAAATTGTAATTTAAATCTAGTATATAAAATGCTGTCTATTATTAGCCAGATATTTTTTCAATTATTTAACCAAGATGTCCACTAATGGTAAAACCTGAGTTTTTGATATTTTATGGTGCATGCTACATGCAGTACTTTTGATAATTATGATAGGTGATTGACAAATTAAATATCTTGGTATTTATGAGTTGATTGAGACATTAAGATTCATTTGTAGTAATTTACAGTATATTTGTGTGTATTATGTATGTATGACATGAATTTACAACTAATGTGTGTTATGAATGGCAAGGCCAATTAGCTAGATCAATTTTATAGGCGCTGATTGTCATCAATTGACATATCAAGGTAATGTTGGGATATAATCATTAAAATCTTTTTGTTTAAATAATGGTAAAAATGATATTAATAAAGCTACTGTATATATTTAACGCTATTTGTAAAATGTACTAGCTAATTTGTAAGTATAAGCTAGTATTGAATACTTAAGATTTAGTTTATGATTTAGTTTAGTCCAGTCAACACACCACTTACTTTAAATTAGTTACCCAGTATAATTGTGAAATATTCAGCATAAATTTTGTACACTAGATTAATATGACTGAAAATATTGTCACAAATAACAATTGATATGTAAGTGCGGTATAAAATTACTTTTAAAATCTTACTACATGTAAAATACTAAAAATAATATACTGTAATACAATTCTGGTAAAGTATCCCGGTTCTCAAATATTGTGCAATACTTTCTCAAATATCGTTTTCAATTGTGAAATTATATAAAATATATATTTCGACATAAATTGATAACTACTTCAATACAAAACAAACTGGAATTCAATATATTTAATGAGAATTGAAATTTATTTTAATACATGTCTCCACTCTATTCGCATCGAAAAAAGTAGTTTTTGTTGTGTTTTTAGTGTTAAGTCAATACGACTATCAACGCAAACACCGATAAAATCACACCTAAAGTGAACTAATACTACATTATATATTATATAAGTTTTTTTCGTTACTTTATTTAAGTGCAAAACTAAATTTAATATTTCGTAACACATGTCATACTCGCGAGAGACTTATGTTTCGCAAGAATTTCATCGAAAAATTCTTTATATTCTTGTACTAAGACTACAGACATTGTGAACCACTTTCCGACACATTATTACACATTTTATTAAGGATTTCGTGAATATTTTTTGTAATTAATATTTAGGCGCTTATTATATGTTTCTTATATACAGTCACTTAACCGTTAATAATGTAATTAACATTTTGTTTTGCGATTCATAAGAAAGGCTTAGAAATATTATGATATCATATGTGTGTCACTAATAGGGTGGATTGCCATACATTGGAAGTAAGGCTTGTGCCATAAGTTTTTCCCCTTTTTTGATACGAGTCTCGCGCGCGACCTATTGTATTGTTGGGATCAGTCTTGTGATCCATTTTATTCATACATATCATAGACTGATATTACCATTGATTTTCTTCAATAAAGTTAAGTTTAAGATAATGGGAGTCTAAGAAAGGCTAGTGATGTCAGTTAGAATTTGGACATTTAATCAGCAAAATGGTCTAATGTGGAGATGACAAGACACATGTAATGGCTAACCTATCGGACCCAAGTGGACAGAAGTATTTTAACTTTAAAGATATCAATAAATTAGTGTATTTTGAAAGTTTTAGAAATGTCTCAAAGTTCGCTAAGCGTTATCTCGTTTGGCAAATCCATGTATCAAATGGGGAACTTTTCACAGCCTTATGTCAAAGTCGGTACTATGAAGTCACGTGAATAAAAAACCAACTGTCTTAGACCATGACTACTTCCATTAATCCAAAAATATCATAATAGTTGTTATCTAGTGTTTTGGTCCAATTTTGCATTATTTCGCTACCAAATCTATGTACAGGAATGGCTTAAAACAAATGGTATCAATTATGTAAATCATAATGAAAATCCGCTTAACGTTCCCTATGCCCGGCCTACCGGCCCATTGAGAGCTTCTGAAGTCAATGCAAATGGGAATACTCTAATAGGTCTAAAGTTGTTATAAATGCTCATAAATGTTGTAAAACCTGGATTAAAATAAGTAATATCCATATCAAAGTAATTTAAAGTCATGTCCATGCACTCATGAGGAATGTCAAGAACAAAGGCAGAATAATAGGTGATAATGGAGTGATGGCTTTATATAAACTCAAAAACTAGTTCCATATATTGTAGTTTACTTGTGTATAAAATTGTTTTTAGTTTCGATAAATACTTTTCTAAATATTAATATTTTTATAAAGGGGAAAAACTTATGGCACAAGCCTTATAATACATGTGTATTATTCTATGTATTATACATGTACAATACATGAGCACATTTACCATACATACATGAAATCCCGCCACTATAGAGAAAACTGTCAAATTTCTGATTATTTTCAATATTTTTCA